CATATATATATATCAATCTTAAAAGGCAAATGGGAAAACCCATAAAACAGCAAACGGCCACATAATGCAAAACTATTTAAAATTACGTTTACGTTTGGGTCTATACCCTAGCATACATACATTGAAAGAAAAAGAAAATAAGGAGGAAAGTATACAGATTGCTGGTAAGTGCTAATGTGGGCATATGAAAAAGGAACGGAGTTCCTGTACTATAAATGTTTGCTGTCCACAAGCACTTACCAGGAAAACAAATGGTCATGTAACGATTAAAAATAAATTTTTCCGACATCAGCGGAAAAACTCTTTGTGGCTACGTTCAGACTTAGAGATAAGCCAGGCTTAAGTTAAGCCTGGCTCAACGTTAAGCCCGGCTTAACCTTGCCGGGCGTTCAGACTAGCGGGATTAGCCAGGCGCAAGAATTGGCATAATGAACCGTAATTATTATATCTCTATGGTTTGGAAACATTGGGCTCAAAAGTACGCTGTGAGCGAGCGTTGAATGCTAATTTGTCATTTTTTTACCGGAAGTCAATGCAAGACCCCCTGCAGCGATTAAAGCCCGGCTTAGAAAAGTTAAACACGGTGGCACGCCAGGCCTAGTTACTATAGGAACACAGCCCGGCTTGAGATAAGCCACCTAGTTCAGACCCAGTGAGTTGAGCCGGGTTTATCCACCTAGTCTGAACTACACTACGTAGGCCTACGTCAATGGGCGTAGGTACACCCCAATGGGTGTCACTCGGTCGGCGTAATAATTTCAATCTATTGCATTTCCTCGTGTGGATATACAACCGGACCCCTTTTCTCGTTGCGGATTGAAATTACCTTGCTTCGTGCACCGATAACACTATGTATATTATTTAATTTATTTTTTGTATTTATGGCACTGCAATAAACATATCTACTAATCGGGTCTAAGAGTTTTCTTCCCTGAAAACGTGCCTATCAGCGGCTGGCTGGGGCATCGCAGTGAACAATATTCTCCTCGATACGGTTCACAGGATAACTCCACTGATTAGAATCAGGCTTGTCAGCAGATGGCTAGGGCAGTTTTCAGCGAACAAGGTCTTTAATTATCTATTATTTTGGTATTTCCACTAGGCCTACATTATTTTAATAAAATTTAAATCCTAGGTTTAAGACATGCTTTAATTAATTATCTTTCACATAAAAGTTCGGCATATGCATCTGATAAGATGACCTTAGAAACCGAAAAATAGTTAGAACGTTTCAAAGTATGTAAACTTAAAAATTTCGAATGCTGAGAAGCTAGATTTATTTGGTTACAGTAAATGTAGGTGTGATTCGGTCGTAATCCCTTCTTATACTATATTCATTTGGCCATGACCTTGCTGCCTCCGTTGGGTGCTGAACCTTTCGGGGTCAGTGGCGCTACGGCACCCTGCCGCTTGGCTTGTTGGCCACTTTTTAGGAATTTTTACTATGGAAATTAATTTAGGGACCGATCGTGTGCGACGGTCCCTTTGCCTATTGTCGTAATAAATCACAACCGAATCACACTATATCAGATCATATGTTACTTTATTGTGTACAGTGTATTGAGAGTGGTGGTCAAGAGTGGGCGGGTCCATATAGTTATATTCTTAGCCCAGTAGACACAATTAAATTTTTCCGACATCAGCGGAAAAACGCTTGGTGTCAATGGGCGTAGGTACACCCCAATGGGTGTCACTCGGTCGGCGTAATATTTTCAATCTATTGCATTTCCTCGTGTGGATATACAACCGGACCCCTTTTCTCGTTGCGGATTGAAATTACCTTGCTCCGTGCACCGATAACTCCTTGGAAATTCTTTTTTCCGTCTGCCACCCATTCCTCCTCTGCAATACACTAGGGCGCTAGGCACCACCCTGCTGCTTGGCTTGTTGGCCACTTTTAAAGAATTTTTACTATGGAAATTAATTTAGGGACCGATCGTTTGCCTATTGTAATAAATCACGACCGAATCACACGTATCAGATCATGTGTTACTTTATTGTGTACAGCGTATTGAGGGTGGTGGTCAAGAGTGGGCGGGTCCATATAGTTAATTCTTAGCCCAGTAGACACAAAGTTAATATGAACTATTCCTTAACATATTTTTTAAATAAATTAAAATTTTCGTTATGAACAGGCAAAGGAAGTAAATTCCAAGTAGATAGTATGGCGGTAGTGTCCAACAATAGAATATTACGTAATCATAATTCATATTTATTTATTAATAATTTTATTAATTTATTTTCCTCGTTATGGTTGAAGCATATGAAGGGGGTATATGAGGGTTTATTGAAATATTAAAAACAAAAGGTGATATTAATTTAGTGGCGTTGTGTAGCGTGACGTGTTAAGTTTGTCATGTTTCCTTAAAATTTATAGTCCATGGACTATTGTGTGTTCTTTAGAAATTGGTTACAATGAGAGTGAAAATTGAGACAAAAGGGAGATAAGTCTGCCAGTGCTGGATGTAGAGTCACAAAAGAATCTTCTTGCCCATTAAATTAATGAGGGTATTGAATGTGAAAACAAAAGGGTTAGGTTAGGGGATTATCGGTGACAGTTTGGTGACTGAAAATTTGGTGACTAGTTTGAATTGCCCGGGTGAATGAGATTTGGTTACGTAGCGTGGAAAGGACGATTTCTATTGGCTTATGTAAAGAGCGCTTTCTATTGGCTCAGATGTGTCACTGACCGCTGGTGAGTCTATGGTTTGAATAACCCGCTTCTGACGTTATGTAATACCTTTATTTTCAAAGTGTATAAATTTAGAAAAAAAAAATAGGCTAAGAATATTAAATTAGTTTCAACTACATAAACTTTAGTGTTACTCTACGAATACCTATCCAAGAAGATGATGAACAGAAATTTTGCCGATGAACAAGAACTTTCTAATTGGGATCTCGATGTTAACGGGGGTTTTCTATTAGCGATGGCGAATGATGTGGATGAACTGGTAAGTTATCAAATAGTTCTCATTTCCTTTTAAATTTGTTAGTTTTTGTTTCTTGTTTTTTGAATACTGAATAGAATGTTGTTGTTTTTTTCAGTTAAATTTTACAACCGATTTGATTAGAATAACCGAAGAAGCTGTAGAAGAACAGTTAGATAACGAATTTTATGAAGATAAATTGGTAAGTAAAATTGTTTTCGCATCCACTCAGATTGCTTTCTCTCCCTCCTTCCAAAACCGAAGTTCTGGAGGAAGGGTCATCAATGAGCTAGGTCCTTCCAGGTGGAATTCTCTAGCCCAGCTTCGCACTCAGAAGAGAATGTTCATATTCGTCATCGTGGGTTTGCGATTTGATCAACTTTAATTGCTTCTCCCTGAAGCAAGTAATAAAGCTTCCAGTCAATTTTTTTTTTTGTATTAATTTTTTTTTCATGTTATTTCAGTTTGACTTTTTAAACGATTTTGATGAAGAAGAGGAAGATAATGATTCTGATGATGACATACGCATTGCGTGTGAACAGGCTGTATTTGAAATTCAGAGACATGGACGTTTAGGTTTAGGAAAACATAGTAAATTAATAAATAAAGAAGATAATTACAACGCGAGACGACAGCACAGCCAAGGTAAATTTAAGAAAATGATGTTTGAAGATAATGATGAGGAGGAAGACGTAGAAAGCAAAGATGATAATAACGACATGAGACGGCAACATGGTCTAGGTCAACATAAGAAGATGATGTATGAAAGTGAACAGGAAGACGATGAAATCTACCACGACGATGAAGACATTATAGTTCAATACGGATCTGGGAAACACGCTAAAAAATTGGTAAGCTAAGTTTCTGCTTTGCCTTATTTGTCATGATTTTAAAAATTGATGTATATTGTATTTACTTTTTTTTTTCTTGTATTTCAGCCTGATCGCGGAACTAAGAGGATGCGAGATACTGAAACAGAGGATAACGACGAGGACGATGAAAAGAATTTCAACGATATGGACGTAAGAGAACTATGCTTTATTCAGAAATTGAATGATAAATTTAATAAAAAATTTAACATGTTAGCGAGCGATCACTTGGTAACATTAATAGGTTTGGATGATGTGAGAATTATTGAAATTTTACCTACGCTTAATAGAATTCTTGATTATGTTTTAGATAGTATTTTGGTAAATGTTCAACCGCATGATATGGTTAGGTTCATTATTAGAGCGAATGGTTTAGATAT